TCGGTACAGAATTTCCAGGTAGCAATTGCAGAGCGGTGCTTGTTGGTTTCCAACTATCTCCCAGTATTACGTCAGCCTTCGAATCAGCAATAACTATGACTGGATGCTATAAAAATACAGTACATGATGCAATGATTTAACCGAGGTTCTTATTTCACCGGTAGCACAACCCGTGAATTGTATAATATCTGTGAACGCAACTCACGATTACATTGCTCTGGCGGCATCAGCGAGGGGTGGAAATTCAGAAGTGAATTTCATCCCAGAAAATGGACATACATACATGCACAAACACGCCAGCAATTTCTATCGATATTGTGACTTTTCACCCTCTGTTTCACCGAAAACTGAATGCAAAAACCTCACATCAAGTAAACTGCTGAAAGCAGACGAGCAAGATAATTACCAGAGCACACAAACAGACAAAACTGAGTCTTAAACGAGGAATCTAAAATCCCACGCAAGCTTGCTCAGAGTGCCTCCCAATAGTCTGATCGCTGATGGCTATTTTCTCTACGGTGATCCAAGCAAGATCTGTAAGCTGCTTGATAACCATTTTACGACTCTCTAACGCCTGAAGGTGTATTAGACTTGCAAATACCCATTCCACCAATCTATTCTCTGATTGACGTTGTCTTTACGCAGCATAAGACGACAAGTGCAGTTGCTTGGGTGAGGAACTTGTGGACTCCTGGACCTGGTGGAATCCCGTCTGTTTCCTTGATTAGGGGCGGCGAGGACACGCCACTGGTCCTTACGAAGCTGTCCTCGACACCGCTCCCCGAGGTACGTTGCTGTGACTGATGGAAGTCGCTACACACATCTACGTATAAATGTTGCCCGACGCCGAATATTCAAAACTACCGCTTACAGGTAGTCTTTCGTATTTTGGAGAAGGTGGTAATGCAGGAAGTTACCGATTATATGGTCAAGCATCGGCCACTTTTCCTAACGCAGCGGGGTTTCTTAAAAGGTCAATCATTCAGAATTCGCTTACTGAGCTACCTTGGAGAGGTCGCTACCAAACTGAATAAAGATCTTTTCGTAACTGCTCTATTTTTTGACCTCAGTAAAGCATCCGATAAAGTGCCTCATAATTGATTAACTACTCACTTGCTTTTTCTCCCTTACTCGAATGACATCTCCAGTGCAATCAAATGTGGCGAGCCCTACCTGTTTGCTGATCACTTAAGATTGCACATAGCCTCCCATGGTCATCAATGAGTAAGTTTTAATGAAATCTTGGACGGCCCTACTGATCCGTTCACTTGGAGTGAGGTATAACTACTTCCGCCTAACTCCGGTAAGCGCGGGACTCCTCATTTTGATAACCTTCGCGGTTCTATTCTGTGGTCACAAAATCCAGAGTGTGATTGAGGTGTTATGTATTCTCAGAACTCAACATTTGTGAAGTAGTCCCAGTCCCTCGTGTCTTAATGTAGGCGATTAGCTGACTTTTGCTTAAACATACGTAAACGTATACGTATATACTGATATCCTATATGGATGACGAACCGGTAAGTTAGACCTAAGAAATGAATAACAAAAACGAGCAGCAGGTCAAACTCACAACAGAGACACAGACTACCGCGTTATACTACGTTATACACGCACAGGTCAGTTGAATGTTTTGCTACAGAACGTACTTGATACAGTATCCCAAATCAGGTGTTCAGAGGTCACTTTATCCGGGGGAAGATGAAGTTACACGTTAATGTAACGAAAACGAGGCTGAAGATGAAGATACCGCCACAGAATGAACAGGAAAAATGAAACAGAACTAAGCATGCGATTATGAGCGGAAACCTAGTGCAAAAAAGTAAAACGGAGTTGTGAATGTTTAAACAAAGCCCTCGCCTTTCGCCATAAGGCCCAACCCGCTTCAGACGGTCATGGGGGGGATGAGCATGATGCCGTCTATCGACTGCTATCATATGAAGGCTGTAGAGAAAACACGGTGGTCCGTAGTAGGCTGAGGTAGTATGCAGGAAAAATTTATGTGCTCAGTTCACCCCACTTTTGGTTTCTATTACTTTGTCATTTTTGTTTTGTTTTGCATTCGGAAGCCTTCATAAGCACGAGAGCCGTAGGCTGTATGCACGCATGCATGCAAGAGCAGTTCTAGTTTATCTCCACGATCATGCCTGTTGAGCAATCATCACCATTTTTTTTCCTGAATTTCTTAAATATTTTCTACTGCCCCCAATGGTATTGGTGACCAAAAACTTTCAGTCTACTCTCAGCTCATCAAGATCATGCGTATCTCACTGATTTCGTCATCTGTTTGTATGCCTTACACACCGGGCAACACTCATGCCGTAGTTTAGCCTGATTTATAGTGAGAAAGTAACTTGCACTATGACACGACATAAGGACCACAGGCTCTCCACAAGAAAGAGGGAGAGTGGTGGGTGAGGTATTTATTTGTAGAAGAAAATAAGATTAGGCAAGCAAGTGTAAACTAAGTGATCGACGAGGTTAGGATCAGTAGCCAGCATCTGTGACATCATGACCACAGTTGCGCACAGGATAGTAAGGAATAAGAAAATGGCCCACCGTTTGATGACTTCAGGGTATATACTCGCGTGTTCTCCAAATTCTCCAGTTTTCCGACCTGGATTAGCTTCAAGGATTCCCTGTATAAATTATCTCATTCCCATGTAGGCAGAATTGTGTCGATTACGTGAGCAGCTAACTGTGATACGAGTCTGTGACTTGGCACACCATTTTCGGTTGTTTTGGTGGGGTGTGCATATGCAGAATTACCACGAAAGTATGCATTTTCGGCATTGTGGATCAGGCACATTAAAGCATTCAAACTGAAGTGGCCTCCCACTTCGAAATTCACAAAGATAAAAATGGCAAGGGGTCAACAAGACGAGCATCTTAAGAAGCCACTTTAGATTATAGCCTGTTCGGTTGTAGATGTTTATTGAGCCAGTGATAAGCATGTTACCGTCCGCTCAAGGTACACAGAGACTCCTGAACAGTCTAAGTTCATCAATATGGTGGTTCAAGGCTAGCTGAAACTGGGATATAGTCCTGAAGAATCGGACATCATGCGGGTGTCCATCCCAAATATTGGCGTAGCGCTCCGCAAAAAAAGAAGATTTAGGCTGTTTCAGGGCATATAGTTATGTGACTAGCCAATCCTGATCTCTATCATCATAAGGTTTTCCATCGGCGAACCTGTGTCAGCATTAGTAGTCACGTGGTTTAGGACTTTGGAGAAAATGATAAGGTTCAACTTTATTCGCCCTAACCCCAAAGGCTGTCGTCGATTAGATGCTACCCTGGTTGGAGGAATCTTTAGACGGCAGACAATCGGGTACAATGGTCAACGGGGTTTGTTCAAGTTAGAGAACTTCATCATCTGGTTTATCCTAAGGAGTGGTCCTGGGTCTGCTGCTGCTCCCTATTTTCGTGAACGACGTTTCATTGACTCTCAGTTCTCCAATTTTACTTTACGCCGATGATTTTAGGTTATGGTGAGCTGTGACGCCCGAAACGGAATCAGATGCACCTCAAAGTGACTTCAGATGACTTTCATGGTGAGTAAATAACAGCAGACTGGGATTTAACCCGCATAAGTGCCCAGCCACCTTTCTCCACACCCATGACTCTCTAAAAGTATCCCGACCTCTCTGTGGCACGCAATCTTCTCACAAAACCAAGAAGAGAAACCTGGGACTAATGCTGAGTGACAACCTGGACAGCACGTTCAACCATTCAAGAGATCCCCCCAGAGCTTATACAATACTGCACGTCGCGCGCAGACGACTATGCGCTCTCATTCCGAAGCTCCTTCTGAAGTTTCACAAGGTATACACACGACCTTACGTAGAGGCCTACAACGTCGTTGCACCCCTACAACTGGAAAGAGGTGTGAATTTCCTAGAGAAGATCCAGAGGCAAGCAACGAAGGCTGTTGTGGGAATGAGGCAAAAACCGTGTGCGGATGGACTGAGGAATCTACAGCCTCAATCTCTTGGCTACCTTGGACACTTGAAAACCGCTTACGAAACACTTGGTACTCCGAGTCACCCAAACAAGGGAAACCTAACGAACGATGAATGTGCGATTCCTAGAGGTAAACCAAAAGAATCTCTTGTCAAAGGGTACAACCCCTTGCGCGTTTGTGCTTTTTCCTACTTAGGTTTGAGGCCACTGGAACGCAGTTGCTGCCCGGGGTTGCCACTGCTCCGTCTGTCGATGGCTTCAAGAAGAGTTTGGACGGGTACGCAACAACCCACGGATTGGGCTCATCCAGCTGGGATACCGACTACGCCAATATAACCAAAGAATTCCACATCATTCTAACACAGTCAACCCCATGCAGAACTTTTGGTACTGCTACTACCATCATGAATTTTCTCAGCTTTACACTTTCTGTCGTTCACCTCACCACCGGCTAACATACCCTGACCAGCAGTTACTACTTGTTCTCCCATTATTCCTCCTATGATCTTACCTGATCCTCCTCCTCCTCCTGACTCTAAATTTCATCCCATTCATTAAGGTTCACTTTATCACAGCTCCCTTTTCTGACTCCTTTGAATTCATGCATGTTTCTACTTTTCTTTCGCTCTGCTACTATTCAAACCGTTTCACTTCACTCACTGTCTCTTGTTTTCACTGGACATATTTTCGTGTTTCCTATCTTCTTTTAGCAGCCGGTCCAAGGAAAATTTGGTGGCAGGATATGTAAGAAACCCAACAGCACTACAAACCTTGGACAAAGCATGCAACCCCTACAAACTAAATCGACACCCAATCTCCCATCTAGTACATGAGATCAATGGCAGGCAAGTGAGAAGACCTACCATATAGGAATTACCTAGAAACCTGGATTTGTTCTGCAAGACCCAGAAAGAAGTGTGAAGAAGTCGACTGATTTACACAAGCTTGTAAAAAGATATTGGATTAGTTATGGGATGTTGGATTTCAATGCCACGACTTTTGACATAGACGTTACAGTTGCTCATGTGAACGAACATTCAATGACAGGTCTCCTAAAGATTCCTTCAAAATATTTGAGAGAAAAAATAGCATCGCTCAACCCAAAATTTTCAATTAAACCTTCAATCCTCAAAATTTTCAATAAACCGAAGGCGACTGGGTCGTTAGAGTCAATCCGAATCCCGCCTGAAGTTGCACAGTTTACATTAAAGTATTGGATGATTTTTCTCCTAGTTGTCCCCTTCATAGGAATGCATATATACCGCTCTCTCGAAGGACGCTATTCCGAGAACTATTGCAGGATAATAGCGTAGTATTACAGTCCGAGAGGAAAAGTCTTGAAAAACTAGCAGTTTTTCTAGATAAGAAGCTAGAAAGTCAGTTTCAGATTCTTCAGAGTGAATTTTCGGTACGCTTTATTTGTCTCATATGTTTTTATTCATGTGCATAAAGCTTTAATCTCCAAGCGTTTTTCATGGGATCATCTATGCACTTTGACTTAAATTGTTACAGTCAACAATGACTTTAGATGCTTAGCAATTTCAAGGGAAAGGGGACCTTGACGGCACCTTAAAACATCAAGCATAACCTTTAAAAAGCTAGAAACTTTGTTTTGAAGAGTTGCTGGATGCACGCAAAATACTATCATCCAAAAATTCCTAATTGGGACAAATTCTGAAGTGCGCTCGAAATTTCTAAAATGTATTCGATTTTTTGGGGGTCGTGCTTTGGCTATCTTGAATATACTAGAAGTATTCTGCTAGGCCTAAAAGTTTCACTGATTCCAAATTTAAGATGAGTACTAGAAGCGAGTTAGACTAGACAAAAGTCTCGTGTGATCTAAATATATTGGCATGTCTCACCGTATAATTTATACCATGGTGTCTAACACAGCGCATACATGACTGCGACAAGTCAATTTTCGTATTATTACTTATGTATTCTTCTGGATTATCGCAAGATCACGTAATTCAGGCGCATCATTATCATCATTACTATTACTATTATTTGTCCGTACTGGAACATAGGGCTTCAGTAGCACGTCACCATTTCACTCTCTTCTCTGCTGTCTTTAACGTGGCTCCATAACTGCCTATAAGCTTTCATTTCTTCCCCGCACAATCTCCATGTCAATCTCGGACGCCCAGTTCGTCGTTTCCCCTTTGGGTTCCACTCGAGGGCATGGCCTGACGCGTGATGTCCCCAGTGTATGTCCGATCCAATCCATCTCCACTTTCTTTTTTTGCATACTTTTTTGGCGATAGGTTTTTGGTTGATTGGTTCGGTGCTAGCCAGAGTTCATTGCTTGCTTATTCTTTCTGGCCATATGATCTTCAGTATCGAACGTAGGTGGCAGCTGTTGATGTGTGTCTGCAGTTTGTTGGAAATGCTTTTCATTACGTCCCAAGTTTCTGAACCATACAGAAGCACTGACTTGACTGAATTAGCGTTGAAAATCCGGATCATGTTCTTTGTGCTGAGCGCAGTAGATCTCCACACTGGCTTTAGATTAATGAAGGCCTGTCTTGCTTTCCCGATCCTAGCCTTGACGTCCTCATCTGTGCCATCTGTAGTTGAAAGGATGCTGCCTGGATACGTAGGTGAAAAAGATAACTTCCTTTAGATTTCTCCCTTCGATGGTGATTGGTGCTTGTTGTTATTGGTTAAGTATCTTCATCACCTCTGTCTTCTCTTCGTTCATCTGAGGGATGTCCCGTCTTCGCTGCCTTGCCTATGCCAACTTGTTGGTTTTTGCCTGGAGATCTTCGAGTTTGTGCGGCATTAGACATAAATCATCATCGACGAAATCCAAATCTTCTAGGGTCTTTTCATCGGTCAAACAGCGTATGCCCATATTCTCACAACTTCTCACGGTTTGCGGCATGATCCATTCCACCACAATCAGGAAGGTCATCGGCGATAGTAGGCGGCAACCTTGTCTTAGTCCTGTTCTCACTTCAAAGGCGTCACTGAGCTTTCCATTGTGGATCACTTGGCATGTGGCGTCTTCATATAGCTGTTGAATGAGGTTGATAAAGGTTTGTGGTACCAAAACCGTAGTTTTGAAGCAGTTGCCAAATTACTTCTCGGTCGACGCTGTCGAAGGCCTTTTCAAAGTCGATGAAGTTGGGGTAAAGAGGTGACTGCTATTCTATCCTCTGTTCTATGATGATGCGTAGCATAGCGTTGCAATTTGATCCGCACATGATTTGTTCTTCCTGAATCCAGCCAGCCTGTTCCGGTCGTAATTTTGGATCGAGAGCACTTTTTAGTCTCTCCAGAATGATGTGGCTTAATATTTTGCTCGGGGTTGACAAGAACATGATTCCGCGCCATTTCTTGTTCTTGCAAAGACTCAGGTCTCCCTTCTTTGAAAGTTTGACAGGGTAGCCCTTCTTCCATCCGGCAGGCACCTTTCTTTCCAAACCTCCTGCAATAGTGTTGTGAGCATGTCCGCTGTTGTCTCTTCGTCTGTTTTCAGTGCTTCTAGAGAAATTCCATTTGGTCCTGCTGCTCTCCCGGCTTTTAGTAACTTTATGGCGTCCATGACTTCTGCTTTTGCCGGAGGGTTTGTGTTAACTGGTAGTTCCATGGCTGCGTTGCTGGTGGTATTTCTGGACAAGTTGCAGGTGGTGATGGTCGGTTCAAGAGTTTTTTGAAGTGGTCAGCCCATTGTTTTCTTTGTTTCTCCTCTTTGGTAACTAGGTTTTCTTCACTGTCTTTCGTTGGTTTCGTCTGCGTTAATCTCTTCCTGGATAGTAATCTGGTTATTTGATATAATGTTGCCTGTTATGCTTCACTTGCCAATGTGTCGTAGAAGTGTCTTTTGTCTTTGCGCTCACTCCTCTTCACTTCTTTATCCAGTGTAGTGTTTTATACGTTGTGTTCAGTTCCTCTTCTCATTGTTCATCCATGCACTGCACTGGTTTATCGTCTGCTTCACCATCTTCCTCTCCCTTCTCTATCAGCTTCTATGTGTCCGTCGAGGTTCATTCCATTCCATGTCTTGTCTTCTTTCTTCTTCCTTCCTAACACAGTCATGCAGGTTTCCTTCCAAGTCTCTTTCAAGGAGTTCCAGTGTTCTTCAACACAGGTTTCTTCGGAGATGCTGCTTAATGTCTCCTTTTTTCTTCTGATGACTGACGTCATTAGTTCCCTTATAGTTTCGTCCTTCAGTTGGTTTCTGTGTGTTGAACTTGAACTGTGGTCTATCACCAGCTTCTTTGAAGGCTTTCAACTTGATTTTGAAGGTAGGCTCCTTGCACTAGATATTAGTGTGAACCTATATCTGCTCCCCTTCTTGATCTTGTGTCCAGTAGGCTGCATCTCCACTTTCTTCACATTGAAATGAAGTCGATCTGATTTTTAGTGTGTCTGGTGAAATCAAATCTATGTCACGTTGTGAATATCCTTGTGTTTGTACACACTGCCTCCAATCACCAATTCATTAAATGCGCAGAATTCTGCAAACATTTCTCCATTCTCATTCATTTCACAAAGTGTCTTTCCACCCATGATTGTTTCTCTTCCTGTGTTATCCGCTACCAGTTTCGCAATAAAATATGTCACCCCACCCATTAGAATTTTGATGTCGCCAGTACTGATTACAGTTGTCTGTAAAAATCCCTCCTTCTCTTGATCTGCATTATTTGTAAGTGTGTAGCGTAGCATTGTATGACTGCGACTTTCCTTCCTTTTTATTTGAATCTTGCTGTCATGATCCTGCAGGAGGAGACTGGCTCTCACTGGATGAGAACCCCCGATGTTCTTGGGGACATCATGATAGCGACTCCAAAACTCAGTGTGCAGTGTTCGTGGTTGTCGTCTGTGTGACAATATTGGAGTGCATTATTGATTCTCCAGTTGACAGTCTGGAAAGTCCACTTCCATTCCATCTGCTCTCGCAAATTCCCAGCACTTCTTTGCCATACCTCCTCATTTTTTTTGCAATCTGGGCAGCCTTTGCAGCCAGCTTCAAACATTGTGCGGACATCCCATGTCCCTATGCTTACTTTTGCTTTCATCGAGAGAAGAGAATAAACATCGGCTGATAGGCTTCTCGAAGGCTTTCACCAACCGGCATCTTTTCGTCTCCTGGATTCCAGCGAAGAATAAGTTCATTCTTATTTTCTGTATTTTGTCTGTGCTTTGAAGTTTCTTTAGCGATTTGGTTGTTTTTCCGGCGTAGGGTCGCTAACCCCACGCCCAACCTTACCTCTTTATCTGGGCTTAGGACCGGTTAGTGAACTAGTAAACTAGGCGGTGTTAATTCAGGAGTACTTAAGATCTTTTGCTTGATATGAGTTAGCAGTCTGTATCGTTTCTGCTACAGTTTGAAAACCTCTCTTTCTTTTCAAAGACAAGGTAAGCGTAGAAATTTAAAAATACTTAAGGAACTAGTACATTTCTGCATATTGCATATAGATAAGCGGTTACGGTTTAATAGTGTTGTAATGAGTGCGAAATATTTTCATTAGACACAGACTTTACATTGGGCTTCACTCAGCAACTTTTACTTTGCCTGACTAGTTTATGGCTTTCAGAAAATAAGGTATAGTGTCAGGTGGTCTATGTAAATCTTTAGAAGGAGTAGTACTGGGAAGATTTGAGCTCTCCTTAAATATATAGAAGTACTAAAGCTACGTGTTCTTGTAGAAGATTTTTAGTAGGCCACAATAAAATCGCCCATTATCTTGGATGCTGATTTAGACAAATAAGTTAAGATTTTATAGACTGCAAGTCAATACTACTCACAACCCACATCTCTTAACTAGTTCACAAGGTGTTTCTTTTTGTCATAAAAATACTAAGCATGTAAAATGAAGTGTTTCGTTTTCATTTTTCCACTACTCAACATTCCCGACAAGCAGTCGTTGACCAGAAGAAAAGCAGTCTACTCAGGTCTCACATCTACAACTCAAAAAGTACGTTCATATTCGGTCTTTCATGGTTCCTGTCATAAGCATGGAAATAATCCCAACTGGGTACTGGAGTCGAGTCCGAAAACTCATTACCAATTGACTGCTTCTACTATAATGAATTGAACGCATTTTATTGGGGTAGTTCTACGACTGCACTTTTGACTTTTGCGAGCTCCTTTCGAGATTTCTGAATCAGCTGACTGCATGAAGTGACCAAAAAATACAGCCTCTTAAATAAGACCATCTTTAAGTACTTTATTGTTCCTTAAAAGTAGTCTGGTGCTTTTAATGGAGTAAACTCTTGAGTACGGATGCCTCTACTACCTTTACTTTCTTAGACAGTAATATTTCCTCGTAAACCGACAAACAAAATTATCTAAGAAGTTATGGGAAAATAATCTAATAAATGTTAATTTACTGCAGTGCAACATAGAACCTCTAAGAAATATCCTGTGTATGGCACAACTGTTTGAATCATTTCATGGGATTGCAAATTTCCACTGACAGATAACTGAAAAGTTTGGTACTTACTCTGAATCAGCGATGAACCAGTTGCATCATTATATTTGAAGGAGATATGGAGTAAGAATACTTCTAGGGTAATCAAACCAAAAAATAGCTTCCCCAACGACTTATTGTTAACCTGTGTCTGGTGCTAGCGCAAACAAGTTAGTTAGCATCAGCATTGGATCTGGCGTTACTGTATAGCAATCCACTTCGCCGAACCTCATCAGCATATCGAGGTAGAAGGCACCAAGATAAAAAATAAATAAAGTGGTAAAACTTCATGAAAAGAGAAGAAGAAGAAGTAAAACAATAATAGAATCTAGTTTAGCGATTAAGATGAAGATAATATGTCGATGTGTCTGAGCCACTAGGATCGTCTTCGAGCCATATCATCCAGAGTTTTCAACCACCGATTTCGTTTGATACCCGGACCCTAACCTGGAAGTTCACATTCCCACACATGGCTCAGACCAACATCCGAAGGCTTCATAGATTGATACCATATTTTAGTTTGACCACCTCTAAACTTCTTCCATTCTAGACCTACTTCAGATAAAAATAGACGATAGGGTAAACAGTGACCGGGACTTTGTAACACATGCTCCAACAATCGCAATCTTTGAAAGTTTATAATCTCAGCAACTGAATTACCTCTTGTATCTTAAACTCTACGCCTGACTTCAACGTGACTGTAGTGGTAGCACAATGACAGATGGCTTATGCTACGAAGACAATGGTGGTCCAGCACCTGGAGCTTCAAGTCCTACACCTTTGATAGCCATATTTTTCAGCTATACAGTAAAAGAAAACGAAATTCAGCACACGACACTTGACTTTTTGGTAATGTTGTGTGCTCTGGAGTTTGTGCTGATGCATAGAATGGCAATGAAAGCTTCACAACTAAACCGTTCAGCTCAGAGAACACAACACCAAAAGTCTCCCTCTGAACTACAAATATTCTTCATCACAGTCGACTTTTGATAGGCAATCAGATATCACGGTGATGCCACAAATGGTGTTAGTTGTTAAAGGCCATGTTTTATGTAGCTCCGGTCGCCAATTTTATATATCTTTACCAGTGACCTGATACAGACTTCGAATTTCACCTTTGCTGGCCACTCAGTCTCTGCGTAGATAGAAAAAGCGGTAATAGAACAGAAGGTGTACTTACAACGTCAACAATGTATACGAAATACAAGGTATATGTATATACGCGCTATGAAGTATGGCAACTTGAACCGATGCACTTCTGTGCCTAATTCTACGTTGATTTGTCTGTATGTGTGAATGCTCTTCCTCCGTTAAGCTATTGAATCACTACCACTGCATCAATAATAATTTTGGTAATAAGAATATATAGCTTTGACTTCAGGCATATAATAGGTAAGTGCAGCATACCCTGCATGTTTTACCTCTGTCTACCTGTAGAATTCAATTGATTACTTGTTGTAGAGATCTGTTTAGTAAGTCAGTCGGTAAGATTGTGAGCATTCATCAATTGCGACAGATTATGTTCTGGACATACTGAGCCGCCGTTTCCTTGGCATATAATGTTACCTGAAGTAGAATTAGTTTTGAAGGAAGCTTAGTATAGACAGACCAAGATGTAGCGCTAATCCATGAAGTGTCTAACTGTTATTGTAAACTACCTAACGACGACCTTCGAGATAAAAGGTAGTAAATCATTGAAGAAGCTCTGACATACACAATGAAACGTTCATCAAATTCTTGTTTTGATTTTATGAACACACTGAGATTATATTAAAACCCACTTACATAACGGGAGCTGTGGCTCACTGGTTTGGGGATATGACAACCAGTGGATCGCAGGTTCGAACACCGCTCCACCTATCTAGGTTTGAACTGCCAGGTAGTGTCAAAAGCCCTCACTCAATAGGTGTGGTTCATTGCCTACTGTACTTATATGGTGATTAAAGCAGACTTGTTGCTCAGATTCTTCCGCGACAGCCGTAGCAACTACGGAAGGGATATTATTTATAGCATAAAAAGAATCACATGGCGATTATTGGTGATATGGCTCAAAATCGGTTACAGTGTATACACGTGTATACATTCTTTATCATATTCAAACTTTGAACATTCTTTCACCTTCATTTTTTTTCTTCCTTTCTCTTTCATGCTTTTTTGTCGTTCTATTTCTACCTCGTTTCTTTGCATGTTACTTCGAACTGTGACTATTTGAACTAGTGGACTTATATGCTAGTTTTTATGTTGGATTTTTGTGTCTATTTGCCAAAATAAATCAGTGCATTATATTCTAAATACTTATTCAAAGGTCAACATTAAAAGAATTTATTTTCTCTGTTCCATTGATAACTTTTATTATACTTTGATCTAATTGCTGATGGTAAGAAAATTAGTTTTTCTTTCATTTCCCTTTATCCATACTAAAATAGCTTCTATCCCAACCTGTTGATACGATTAGTTATGCTGAAAAAAACAGTTTATCTTCTCTCAACGACAAGGGTAATAATTCTAATGAACTTGATCGAGAATTCTGGTTTCTCCGACGTTTATCAAATATCGCTCCCGTAGCTGGTTTCATTGAGGTATCTCAAGATCAATTACAACATGCCTGTACTTCGATTAAATCTAAAAATCATGGTTTAGTTGTGAGTTATTGTTTTTCTTTCTTTGAAATTTTTACAATGTTTAAATGAGTTCAGTTTATGTTCGTTTATTAAATATTTGATTAATTGTTATTACTTTTTGTGATGAGTGGGTTTATTCTAGTATTTCTTTTTAATTGAATAATAGGTGACAGAATACATTTTATATGGCTTTTTGAAGTGGCTTTTCCGTACTGCTGACATTGATTTTAGAGACTTCTGAAAACCAGGAAACATTTAGCATCTTTTTCATAACAACTTATGAGCAACAGATATAATCTACTTTTTAATGGTATTCAACCCAGGATCTTATTATTTTACAGTGTGTACATTGTCGTTGAACTCACCAAGTTAGCATTTAGTCGTTAATATTTCTTCTTGTCCGATTCTCATAAGTGATGAATTTGAGAACTTCAACTCCAGAACAAGCTATGACTAAGTTTTGAAATACCAATTTACAGTTCTTATAGGTCCATCAAGCTTTGGTTGAACGCAGATATTGTTATGGATGGACTAAAATTGCGAGATGTCAGTCATTTACATTCTAAAATAGTTACTCAGTATTAATATGTCCACCTCTAGAACTTAAGTTCTTGTTATGGCAGTAGGATATTAAAAGGTGTACACTGCTCACTCTAAAAAGTGCCTAGTCAACCCTTATTTTTCCACTATTTTTTTGAACTGATGTCATTTTCCCAAGGAAATCTATCACCGTATCCGCGTAATTGTTACTAAACTGATTAGCTGCCAAAGGTTATGTTAAACTCGTAAAGTAAATCAGAATATCCGTCTGAAGCTTCATCAGGTTATGAAATTACATAACAATAGCAAAAGCACTCCTATACTTGCTAACACTGAAACAAATAATAATAATAATAAAATGATCAAAAGAGGTAGCCCAGTGTAATAACTTCAGGCAGATTAGTGTGTCTGCGATAAAATGAAAGGGTATTTTTGTAACTGTGTCATACGTAGATTTAGCGGTGGAATTGATTTGTTGCTTACCTCACCACTACAAATTATTGTATAAGCAATCCTATGAAATGAAATATAACGTAGCAGCTTTGTAAAGGTTCATGCATTCTGCAATGAACCACATCTGTTATGTATGATCTGAGGATAATATATGGCTACTCAAACTTCAGTAGGTCGAGCAAGAGAGCTTTGGACTTGTGACCAATTAAATGAAAGTCAACTACCCATAACCATGATTCTTAGCTCCTCTACTACAATTCTCAGTTATTTTGCATACTGTTAGGAGGTGATGGGGGGGGGTGTTGGAAAAGCCTTCAAATGTCTAAATACGTATGAATAAGTCTATGAATGTGGTTTTATTATCCCTGTAAAGTAGATAAAATAAGCAGCTGTTTAGTAAGAAGTTGTTAGAATATAAATCAACATTTTAAGTCATAGGTGCTGCTTAGGTAAAAGATTTAGAACTTCAGTCTCTGATTGCTGATGCTGCATTCTTGAAGTAGTCTTATTGGACAGTTTTACGCTTCGTTAGACTATTCAGCATAAATCAGCTACTCATTCTGCTCCACCTTACTTTCATGGATGAAAACATATTTATTTGTCTGACAAAGTCGTTTTTCTTGTCACAGGACAGCCTTTATCTCTTGAAATTTCCATTACTCAGTAAAACATAAGGTGCTATGGGAGAAAGGGAAGGCAAACAGTTGTTTTTCGTGCACAGTTTGAGCATTCCAGTGTGTTCCATATTTATATCCGAATCTGCTCGACTGCTTCATGCACAATCATGCTGATCTGTGCGTAGATGAACTAAGAAGAGACAAGATTATTGTGCTCAGTCGGCTTTAATTTTACATCTTATATGCACTTGAAAATACAGATGAGTGTTAAACACCTATTCAACTAATTGGATATTCCTTTCTTTTGGTTCCCCACTCCAACTTCACTTACGTTTGTAAGCTATCCTTATTGTGTACCACACATCCTCAACTCTTCTAATGCAACTAATAAATTAGGTATCTGGACTGAGCACCAAACTTATTTTATCTGGTTCAGGGGTTGAAAAACAATAACATTAGCGGAAACTTATCATAAATAGGTTTAGCAACCAAAAAGGCTATCGATTTCCAGTACTATAGTTCTACAAGCTCACTGAATAATCGATAGTTTTTTGGTTTTATAGCGGTATTATGAGGTAGTTATATTCTTCAAAGTACCAAAACTATTAACTGTAAAACTGTAGAAGAGAATTTCAAGCATGAAACGTTAGGTAGTTCAACTGTTAACGGAACCATTCATTACCATCCAGTAACAGGATTCATTCGCATAATTCAATCATAAATATATCAACTTCTAGCCCCCTAATGAAATGAAGAGGACTTGGAAAAACTCCTTATATGCATTAAACACATTGAATTATTTGTGCTGTAGTTAAAAATGAGAAATTCATAGTATAGGCTTAACTGATCAACTGAAGTTGAGAAATGTTGATTATTGTTATGTTCTGACCAAAGTAACTCCAGTAGTAGTAGTAGTACACCTAATAAAAGTCAGAACATTTTGGATTTCACAGTAAGTATTGACTGAGACTTCATACTACTATGGAGTTCACAACTATGTAAAAGCTAACTGTCAATTTCTATGTTCCACAGGTTCTTCAATTGTTATCAGTTTACATTATTTTGCAGTATCTCCCGTAAAATCCATATTTAATTACTCTTTTCTATAAAACTCATCGATTCAACTACAACTCTTATCACTTGTTCCTAACTTGTGCTACATTATAGTCTATATCCAAGTTCAGTTTGAAAATGTCTGTCGAACCACCTTATCTCCAAACATTTTGAATTCCCAAACTAGTCAAGCAACCCACTGTCATCTTGAATAAACACCTTTGATATTCCAACCAGCGTTTTATCTTATTTCTTGCAATGATAGGCGTATGTAGACCCTGATGATTACGATGTACTTCGTTTCTGGATTCGTGGATTTCATCCGAATTTCAATGCCGGTGCTGCTTGTTCTACTATTTTCACCTCGAAACAATCTACTTCAAGCGATAATGAGAGCGTAAGCACGTTCAGTAAACTATCTGTACGTGTTTCTCATTTGGTAGGTATACTGATCAAATCAATAAAGCGTAGTTATTCCCCAAATATATACGGTTATGAATCCGTCGATTCAGTGATTGGTAAATCGGATGGATTTTATTTTGGTCGAGTATTAATGTGTGTACGAAGGAAAAACAGTGATAACTTGGATTTCAAACTTTTTGAGGTAAGTGGAGAATGAATTAATTTTTGAAAGGAATTTCTTTTATTTGGAGGTCTGTAGAGATTTATTGACCCCAAGGTGGTATTTCATCAGTTGGATAGCCTTTTAAAATATAGAAGCATTGAACATGTATTTCATCCTAGCATGGGGCTTCTCAACAGCACGCATTCATAACCTTGCTAGGGATTGAACCCTGAATCTTCAAGTTTCCTAGCGATTAGCTTACCATTGAGCCACTGGATCCAGTCCTTCCAGGTTTTCAATCTTTCTGCATCTTATATCGGACTGCGATGATGAATACCAGCTTGAAATTCCTTTTGTCTTAGTAAAGTTTTTTTTAATTCATGGTTATTTTTTCATTCTAAGACTTATTGTCATTATGTCTACCATTATGCAAATGGTGTTATACACCAAAAATATGAGCGTAACATGATTTTTTTAATGTTGAATAAAAGTTTTTAAAATAGTATTTTAGACACTTTCTTTGGTTTAAACATCAGCAATGTGTCTATGCACTGGCTAAGTGACAGTTATCCCATCTATCCCTATTTCTAATCTACACCCTGGTGACTGGATTACTTCATTCTGATTTACAAGCGATGTTTTATCCATGTAGTTAAATGAAATGTAAGTTAGTGACCGCGTGAACCGTTGTGCATCAGATGGTGAACTACGCCTGGTGTGTAAGAGCTTATGAGACCACCTGGTTGCTTGAACTTCTGTAGGTTAAATAGGGTCTGAAATCGCCTACTTCGAACTAAGCGACTGTGTAGTATCATAAATATATAAAGAGTCATCTTCGCTCATGATCTTGTGCATAAAAGCTCGTACCCGACAGTGATCAGATTGAGTTACAAGTAATTACAGAAATTCATTCTTATCTTGTTTACTTGTAATCAACCTTAGAATTCGAACTTTGAGAAGTATATTCCTTTAGTAGATTGACTTAATGAATGAGTTTGATCACTGTAATAACTCATTAGTAGTTGGTGAAGTACTAAAAGGTCGAATCATCGAGCATAGTGATCACAATTTTTCTAGCTTTACTAATAGGCATTGGCTTTAATTGAGAGCTGAAGTTCATTTTGACCGAAACAATGACTTTTTACATAGGTGGATGTAATTTCAGCACCTAGGCATTTGCGACGAAAAATAACCCAATGATCAAAAATATTAAAAAAAGAGTGTACCCATCCATAATAAAAAGTTCTAATGAAAAAGGAACTATTAGTTATTCAGCGTTCATGTATCATCAAATCATTGATTTGACTAATGAGATCTCCTATAGTAAATCAAAAGCCAGAATGGCATACATCAATCTGGATCATTTTTGATATCCGTACAATGTCAACCTGATTGTAAAAGGTCGGTTGTACAACACGTCGACGTAAATAGTACTGTCCTACGCAATTAATAAGTTGTTGTCAGTCCGAAAGTTTGTTTTAGACAGAATTTCTTAGATACTAGTATCTATAAAAAACCTACACATTCGAATCTATACTGATACTTCAAGTCATATTATCCTGTTAGTTAAAATAAGTTTAGCAAAATGTTCAGACAATGAAGCAAAATATTTGAGCAGTAAATCTACAGGAAGAAATATGACATAAAACAAGCCTTACTATTCAATAACTACCCTTACTTATTGATCTAAAAATATATAAGAAACTGTAAGAAAAAGACGCATAACACAGACATGGTTAATATACATACTAATAATGGCAACACAAAAATTCATAACACCCCACTTCCCTCCTTAGTGCTACCGCATAGGAAAGATACCTCAGAAAATCTACACAGGATTCTTAACAGGGTGCCGCTCACAGTTGTATTTAAATTTACGAATTCACCATCATACAAGCTTTGTAGGTTTAAGAATTCCAAAGAGCGCATCAGACAAAATTATCTAATTTATCGAATTCCATGTAACAATTGTAAGGTCAAAGTAATCCATCGGGGTCAATTAGAATAACAAACGACAAAAGTTTGATCAAATCTAGAATGGTACACGTCACTAAGGTAATAAATAAATTGAAAGACGTATTCGTAGGAATGCATACGATCATGTATAACCATACGATAGGATGGGAAAAAGTGAATGACAACTGAACCTTTGCTTATCGAATTGTTGCTGAATAACTCAACACCTACTTCAGATATTGAGGGAGAGAAAATAGAACCATAAAAACAGGATGCGAAAAATGTGGAGTTACCTTTGATATGAAGAATGAATTCTGTTCGTAACGTCATCCCGTAAGTAAATACCCTTACACCGTGCGAAATGTCTAACAAAGAGATTCACATAAAATAATAGTAAAATCTGTTGGTTTTTGTTACTAGTTCCATACGTTGAGGTATGGCATACTGATACAAGTTCAAGCTATAATCGTGATTTCGCTTGTCCCCACCCCCTTCTCCTCTTACTTTAACCTAAGCAGCAAATATAGGATGTGCACAGCCCATGGGTCACATTCTAGTACATGTCCATGTTTCTCTGATACGAAGAGGCTAAAATATAAATCGCAATTTCAGGTCAATTTCTGAGCTTGAAATTTTGATGTTTACTGCTGTCCGGTCAAGATAAATCTTACTGGACAATTTCCTACCTCAATAAACCAATTAGGATAAGCCATTCTATTTTGGATCTAGGGCATTTTTGTCTATGGAAATCATATATATATATATATATATATATATATATATATATATATATATATATATATATATATATATATATACGACCCATTTTTCTCAAATGAGGTTGTACTCGCAGTGACAGGCCGGTCTATATCTCTCATATCTGTGTGATTCAGCTAACAGTCGTTATCATGTCCAGTATCATATATTATTACACTCGACCACTTACATGTAGTTGGTGAGTTGTGAACTTCATTCCATGAAATTCAGAACCAAAGCGATTTTCTGACGGCAAACCAAAACGCTTGAGTTACGCGTAAAATCCAAAACACAGGATTTGTCTGAAACACTGTTCTTTTTGATGAATACACAATAGTGAGTCATCAATTACAAACCTCGAATTGTGAGGTATCTGAGGATTTTTTGCTGTCAAATAACTCTACAAAGAGTGCGTCAGCAGTACAACACCAAGGCTGTGTCCAAGGCAAATCAATAGGGAATAAAAAAGACGCTCATATCTCACGTTAAGATCAAGACCACGAGGTAAACAATTGTTCAGGGTAAAATATAATATCAAGGGACAACGAAAAGAATCCCAACACTGTCGTGAACCGGGAAGGATACTAATATCTAGCGATGTTAAATGACGAACGAGATACAATTGAGTAGAATGAACAGTCAAGTTGTGGATGAAGTAACATTGTGGGAACACGCAAACTATACTACTCAGTAATACTAAGTAGTATGAAACTGAAAGTATAGCAAGAGAAACAAGGATAACACCACACGGGGTAAATGAGAACAAGTGAGAATCGAGATTTTCAGTCCCAGAGTCTTTATCATCAGACTTTTGTCATTTTGTTACAAACTGCCGTCAGACAGTATTCATAATCAAAGTTAAATTGATGATTAAAAAGAGGTGGTAGGATGTATGACGATGCCAAGTTTTAAGAACGAGCGATAATACTTGACGATCAAGTTGAAGGTTGAGACAGTTCAACCCGAATGATTCGCAGAGGGAAATCAAAAGGCTACTATTCAATTGAGTTTATAGTATCTCGAACTAAGAACTTTTATTAGTAGAACAGACCCTATTCATCGTGTTCACGTTCCACCCTAATATCGTACATTAGAATGATGCTTATTGGATAATAATTAAACTGACCGATAGCCCAAATAATATGATTCACCATTGAGCAGTGTTGTTTGGTTGCCTTATTCTGCATAGAAACTCATCTTAATAGTTAATTCGGTGCAACCTTGGCAAATAAACTTTGAATTTCTCTCGAATATATACACGTACATCTAAAGATAGTAAAATAAATGCATTATTTGGGTTTCAGAAATAAAACTCACTAGGTTTTCCAAGGAATAACAGTGCTCTGGAAAGTGCTTTTTCATGGCACATAATATATCATTCATGTATAATGAATATTGAAAATGGTTCAACTACTGCTGAATCACCGATAGTAGTAATGTCTATTCTTCAAGGAACTTTTTTCAAGTTATACATTCATTTACTTGAAGGACTATATTAAGTGAGTGTTTCAACTTTGAATTGTTTATAGATGGTAGTAACTGTTACAATGTCTAGTTAATCGCCAAATGGATTAGATTTCCAAACTCAACTTGATAGAATTGATCCATTGTGATTGTGTGTTTATCCAAGTTGCTTGTGGTGCAAAAACTATAATTGTGCCCCCTTTGGGCAAATTAAGTGGGATTGTAAATGTAAAGTATATTTAAAACAGATAAACCACTCACGTTTAGTTGTGTTATGTCCAATCAAATTTAATTAGATAAATAAAATATGTGTTACACTGTAAATGACACAGGGCAAACAAAAGTATTCAGAAAGTAGCATGTACAATGCATCAAAACGAGTGAAAGATGCACCAGCTGATATGATGAAATAGAATTGATTATAAGTTTGAAAAAATGTCAATACTACTTATCAGTAAGGAGTACTATACCATACAAGCTGTAGGTTGTTGTTCTAATTTTCAACCAATGAGCCATGATTTCAAACCCCTACTTGACCTATCGAGGTTTAGGCATCCCTGTAGTATTATTCGGCCTTACACAATAGATATGGTTCATTGCCTAGTGCATGAACCCACACATGGTTGCTGAGACAGTTTACTTTTTTCTTACAACAGAAGACATAATGAAGTATGCCAGAACAAAAGCAGTTATAGAAAGCAAATAATGCAAATGTTAAAAAAACAGATCTAACAGGATGCGTATAACTTGAGAACGAGTGTAAAATTCATAGAAATAATCAGGCAACGATGCGTTGTTCAATGTGGATGACAAATTTATCAAACTTTAAGAAGTGAGATCCTTAGAATGGAAGGTTATATGAAGATTAGGTGAAATAACACCGAAAGAGAAGAAGAAGAAGAAGTGAAAAAGTTCTAAAACTATGTTATCTCTGAAGTAAAGATAAACATTATACATGCTTCTCCCGTATGGAAAAATCTGGTTTCTCTTCTTTTGTTTACATTACATTATTGATGACTAAAATTCGACCATTCATTGAAAAAGATACTGTTTGGAAGAAATTTCCATCCATAAGGTTTTTGTGAACTCATTTGCACAAAGATAACTCTACCAAATGAATTCCAATGTTGACACATGTTTTGATGGATGTTAACTTCACTATACCAGCATGTGATAAGTCTTATCTTCTAAACTAGTCTAACTAACTGGTCTAGCCAACAAAACATACCAAAACAAAGTTATCAGGTCCAAGCTAGACATTTATAAACTTCGTCAACGATCAAGATTGAGGTAACATGACTTCAAAGTAATACAACTCAATAGCTCAAATGTTCATATGCTGCGTAGTAAGCAGACAATTGAATGTGTTATTGTTTGGTTGCTCAAATCACTGAAGATAGATCATTGTTTGATCCCATTTCCCATTGATTCGAAGTCAAATGTCTAGTCCAACATGTCACAACTCCATATTGGTTCCGAACAAAAGAACCGTTGAAGGAGAGAGGTGGGTGGTCACTCTATCCCCAATAACATATTTATCATTATTATTATTACTATTATTATTATTATTGTAGAAATGTTTCGATAAAATCGGCATTCGTAGTCCTTTTTGTGTACGTATAGTACAATCTCAGAGACTGCACAGGAAATTTTAACCACATCTTAACCTGTGAATTATTTAAGATCTAAAAACCAGAGTATCATATTGTTTACACTGTAATCATTGATTTTGTACAAATTTTAGTTGCTACTACATGTTATTTGTCAATTTGATTGACTGATGGAGCCAGCCAAATCAGATATGAGGACAAATATTCAACAATGGCATTGGATGAAAGTCGCTCTATATTGTTGACTGACAGAAATAGGAAGTATGGACTGTTGGATTCCGACCCAGTGCTTCAATGGTAACGCGCTGGCCGCGGAACCTGAAGGCACTGTGCTCGATCCCCGTCATGAGTGCGCACTGCTGAAGAATCCCATACTAGAACGAAACAGCTGTCCAGTGTTCCCAGGTTCTCAACTGATGCCAGTCCGCGATAAATACCAACATGAAGTCAATAAATAAATTCCCACAAACCTCCAAACTTTGATTGTTGTTATTGTTATTTTTCTTCCCCACCCATTCTTTTTCTAGAATGTACCCGTTACAGGTGTTGTACGCAACTCAAATTTTGCCGACAATTTACTCTACCTCTTGCCTAATTTACGTACCGTTCCACTGAGTCAAAGTGCACGTTTCGTGATTCTAATGAGTACAGCTACTGCAGCAGGTTGTTTAGGCGTGATTACTCCAATTGCCTGGCTATTTGACTCTAATTACGACCTAGTATTGGCTTGGTCTATAGCTGCTAGTGCCAGTGCTGCATCTATCCTGTGCTTAGTATGGGCTCGTTATTGGCGTGCTCAAACTAATCTGGCTAACAATCTTAGGTATATGGTAAGATGATTATTTTGCCATTAGTTGATTAATTTTGTTGCCTTTGTTCACCACTCCCTATTGGTTATTCGGGCTTGCTAAAGTTTATCTTACTACCCGTCTGAAACAGGCTTCTTAGACCCCAGATCATTAAACACTTTTGTTGATACACTTCGATCTTAGTCACAGTAGAATTCACTGTCAATTTTTCAGAAGATCACATATAATTTGATCAAGTTACAAATTATTCATCAATAGCATGGTCTCCGTTAATATTTCTCCAAACTGAGTAGCTTTCCAACTGTGTAATTTGCCCATGATTCACAAATTAATCATCTTATCCAAGTCAACTAACCAGGTTCAATTGATGTGAATAGTTCAGTTCTGTCTGGATACACCAATGATGAACAAACCCACAACGAACGAAATGGTCGTTTACTGTTTAGATCATTATGATATGGTTAACGAAATCTACAGAACACCTTGAGTGATTTTTAACTACTTATGTTGTTCAGTAGTATGTTTTAAGTGCGATTTGCACCCTGTGTTGTTCATTTTCATGTTCAAATCCCTGAAGTATTTGAGTTACTATTCGGACAGGGTTGACGTAATTCACCTAAGTATGTGATTTATTTGATAGCAGTATATTTAGAATAATTCAACCGCAAATGTGTACTTTCCTGTCATTTTAGATCAAAGATAATGATGCAGACTTGTTTAAAATTAAAGTTTATGTAGAGTGCTACGATTAAAGATGTAAAGTGAAAAACTGTGAGTCGACAAAACACAAATAACTATATAAATACACCCTAATGATTTTCTAAAATGCACATACTTGTATATATCTTCAATAGTAACTACATACTAATATTACTGTTACATTTCGTCTACCCTTAAGCTGCTTACTGATTGAGAAACTGTTGACTGCGTACAATTTAGTGTCTGAGTGACTTTAAAGGCTACCCCAGCAAGTGTAGAAGTAGCCAATTAGGTTTGTTTATTTTGCTTAGAAAGGTAGTTTTTCTCATAAAGTAAGGAAATTCAGATACTTTTTTTAAAAATAGTTGTCAACTTTGTCTTCTTAGCTATATGTAGATATCGAGGGTCAAGGTCATGAGTAAGTCTCACTTCATTCCACTTAGAAGCTGTATTCAGATGCCAGCATCCTTTGGCGATCAAAGGTCTCAAATGCAAATGGGAGAGAGACTCTGAAGCGTTCTCATTCATGATTTACAATAACATCGTACGTGGAGAAATCCTTACTATCCTGCTTTTTCTGTTTTCAGCATTGGTAGTGCTTACTATGAAGGAGAAATTTCCTCCGAATATTTAAAGCATTATTAACACGATTTGTTTAAATGTCTTATCTGTCATTTACTGCAGTGGAACTAAGTTAACAACCTTATAGGTTCGGTAGATGCTAGTTTACAGAACAGCAATCGAACCTTCCGCACATCATTGTTGTTGTTAACCTCAGTTTTGAAAGTGTTCTCCTATTTGCTAATCTAGAAATCAGATGTAGTGCTCAACATTTGATCGGAAAAACTCAGACATTTCGCTAACAATATGTCTGCTGGAAATATAGATATCGATTCGCAAACCTTTCCATAAATATAAGCTAGTATTCATTACGGATTGACACAAGTTGGAGGGCCCTTCGAAACTTCGGAGCTCTGGACAGCTATTTTCTCCTTCTGTGGAACTCCCCTACAGTACACATCTACGACTCCCCCCCCCCAGCGACCGAACTCAGGAATGCTGAGGAGTCCCACACTAAAACGAAACAGCTGTCCAGTGCTCCCAAGTCTTCACTGGTTCTCCAACCTATGTCAGTCTGTAGCGAGTATCACCTTAAAAAATAAAATCCCCACAAACTTCAAACTAAATAACTGTATAGTGCTCATTAGTGACATGCCTCGAGATGGATATCGCAAAGTTTCTGTGAGAAGCCGAAATATGTGGGGTCAACCAGTGATAAGTTGAGTGGTGGATACCAGCTGAAGGCATTGGTAGATATTAGCTCTAAATCGTGAATTGACAGAAGTAGGAAATTGTGAACCACTAGACTTCAACCCAGTGACTGAATGGTTAAGGCGTTCTCCGCAAGACCTGAAAACCCTGAGTCCGATCCCTGGTGGGGTCGTGGGTGAGTAATTCTGAGGGTTCCAATATTATGATGAAGCAGCTGTCCAGTACTCCCAGATTTCTAATGGTTCTCCAACTGATGTCAGTCCGTAATGAATATCAGTTTAAGAATAAGATCTCCACAAACCTATATATATATATATATGTTGTGAACGTTTTCTCAAGAAATTTGGAACCAAAGCAAACAAGCGACTTCCCAACAATAAATAAACCAAACTCTCTAGTTACGCGTAAAATCCAAAACAGGATTTGTCTGAAACACTGTTCTTTTTGATGAATAAACAATAGTGAATCATCAATTACAAACCTCGAATTGTGAGATATCTGAGGATTTTTTGCTGTCAAATAACTCTACAAAGAGTGTGTCAACAGTACAACACCCAGGCTGTGTTCAAGGTAAAATAGAACATCAGGAAACAACGAAAGAAATTACAACACCATCATGGACTGGTAAAGATATTAACATCTGGGGATGTTAAATGGTGAACAAGATACGATCGAGGAAAATGAACAATCAACGTTCTGAATGGGGTAACATAACGAAACATAAACTATACTACTCAATAATGCTAAGTAGTCTTAAATTGAAGGTATTGAAAGATAACATTTCATGGAATAAACAAGAAAGGTGTTAACATAGATAGAGTTTAGTTAAGAATAGTTACTTTTCTGTCACCTAGGTTTTCACTCCAGTTTTTAGCTTAGTTCCAGTATCCAAAGCAAGACTATCCAAACCTTAGCCATTCATTGATCCCCACAATGGATCATTCGCCTCACTGAGGAAGAACCATGAAAGTTAATACTCCTTCTAACGCATTCTGTTAATGCTCCCTCAAAGAATGATCAGTTTTCATCCCACATTGTCAGGCTTTAATGTATCAACATTCACCAGGTACTCGAATCAGTTGACAATCCTTACCTCCCAGTGGGCAAATTTAAATGTGATACATCTCATTGTAGTGTCTAAGACCCGGTAGAAGGGATGCATGAATGAATATTTCATAAAGAGGTCGAATCCGAGAACCTTTAATCTAAACGATTCTCGGTGGTGACTTCCTTTTAACCACTGACTCCTAATAACCAGCCACACTTGGGGTAACAAGAAACACCTCTTAAACTAATGATGGCTTTACCTATCACAAAGTGAAACATTCGTCAATGTCATTGATTTCACTTCAAAATAATGACAGCCAGAACTCCGAAGTTGAATTCTGTAGTTAACCGTATCATTTCCAAGGTAAAACCTTGTTGCACACAATTGCGCCAGTGGTCTTGTGTATACTGACCTCGCTGACCGCAGTTTTTGCTAAATCGACGGGATGGTGTCTTGAACTACCCAGTAGGGTATAACTAGACTTGAAGAGTAATCCCCTAACATGCGGTTTTCTCTCTACAAGGAATAGCCAGCCCCATTTCATGACTTGATTTGTATTTTATTCCTCCAACTCTGGTACTGACACCTATTTTTTGACCTGATTTTACTTATCAGGTTATATTAACATGTTTAAATGTGAATTTCAAGAATTAATTTCATTAATTTTTTTTTAAAATTTTTTACGACGATTGTGTAGCAGTATCTTTGTTGCCAAGCTTCTGGTTTACTATCGATTAATATTTTACTGAAATTGGCAAAAGAACAAGAATTTAAAGCAGCTCTACTCACTTATGCCTTACTGCTTAGACCTACTGAGAGTAAGTAAGATGCACATTGATTGCTTAGATGTTCTGATCGATTATATGCATGTTAATATGTATATATATACATAGGGTTATCAGCTTTGGTATGATTTCGTGTTTTTTAGTATAAATGTTTGCAATAATGAAGTCCTAATTATCATGTTCAGTGGTATTGTTGGTACAAACTTAAAAAGGTGAAAATGAAGATATTGGTCAATCAGTTACAATAATCAAATGTGTTTGTATGATCTGTTGCTACACTTAAATGTGCATGTGTGCCTGTTGTTTGAATGACTAGGGTCACTAAATTCTTTTGATTATGATGTCCTTCTTTTGTTTAAATACACATAAATTCTGTGTAAATACCTATATCATTGTTTGGTCCTGGAGTCTTAACTGATGACTCTATGGAGGCAAAGAATTCTAATCCCTAAGTGTCTCCTGTGTTATAATTTAGTCCTTTCTGAAAAAAAAGTTCCTCGAATTTGGTCAGAGGTTGTTTGAATAGGTTGACTGCACAATCATTTGCTTTTCCCCTTTCTGACACTTGTGTTTTTGAAATTTTGACCACCCCTCGAAGGATATTTTTTTTCTCTTCTTTGTGTCGTCTACTTGATTTTTGATCTCATTTGCCAATGCTGTAAAGTGTTCTATTGTAAGGATTCCCTGAGGTTTTCTCGTTCAGCTATCGGTAGTCGGTTGGTATTTCCGAATCCGATAACCAGCATCGGTGATCATTAGCTGTACCATGTGTTTCTTTCTACTATTTTCCAGCCCATTGGACAGTCGATAGGTGGTTTTTATCTGACACCATTTAGCAAAATATGCTGACGTAGACACTTATAGAGAAAATATATTTGTTTCCTTGTGGAGGATTGACTCTTGGCGAAGTTCCATCATTTCCGAAAAATGAGAAGCGTTTGACATGGTGAATATTCGTGGCTAAGGAGGATGATTTTAATTGTGTTGTGTTCTTTGAACTGAATGGTTTGATCGTGAAGCCTTCATTGTCATCTCCAGACAACGCCATCAGCACAGATAAGATTCATAGTAAACTAATCACCATTCAAAGACCATTTCTATCACAAATCCACATCACTAGCTGAAGAGGACGTTTTGGGACCTTCAGGTTTGGTACACATCATTAGTGTACCACTGACTCTGTAGTTTTGATCTTCAAATTTTTACGCATCTGGACCGAACCTGTTGGTATTGAAAGACAATTAGTGACATTCACATCCTTCGGTTAAAAATACAACAAAACCGTTTCCCAGTGTTATCCATGGACATCTATCTTTACATGTGGACTGGATGACCGCATATCTCAAGGTTTTCTATTGAATGAAGTTGTTTCAAATATACCCCGTTTATAAACAATGTCTAACTTATCAGATACTCTGTTTCCAGAATTAGGATTGTATTAAATTGAATGGTATTTTCAAAGTATGGTTTTAATTCATTTTAAACTGTGAAATCGACTATTGAATACTTCCTTATTACTCATTATCATCTCCGAACGTGTTCTCCGTAGCTTGTATGTGTTAAATTAAAAAACGACTAAGATCAAGTTCCTTCCTTATTGCAGGTGATTGAAACTGAATTGCAACCAGTCTTATATACAAGTGAATTATGCTTGTTGTTATAAACCAGAACACGGATCTTCTACTGTCATGGAAGTCGCGACAGTATCTCTTCCTATCGGTAAACGTAACTAGACCCAGTGATTTCTACGAGAATGTTCTGTTGAAATTCTTACTACTTACAATTTGTCAGTAGTTAAACTAATACTATTGAAATAAAACAGTCCTGCTTCATATTGCGTGTATTTGGTTCAGTATTAAGCTGTTTTTTGAATAAAAAGGTCTACAATCATTCTTTTCCTCACCAAGAACCACAAAAATACATAGACAATGTGAATTTAATAGATTATGTATTACTGAGATGTCATCTCAGCTGCTCACACACCTTACTGAACATCGACAAAGTTGCAAACAGCATTTAAAGAAATTCAGGTACATTCTGCATTCTTAAAAAAGGTTCAAACATCTTATCATATGTGCTGCCTCCAGACCCATAAATAACCGTTTGAAAATATGGAAGACCATACCGAAGGACCTCAGTTTACAAAAGGCGTGACATAATGCAAGAGCCTAGTGGATAACGCTTTGGCGTTTGAAGCAATGGGTACTGGGATCGGGCCTCAATGGGAACAACACTCGTTAGGGTACAGCTGACGAGTCTCAAACGGGAAGAAATCCGCGTCCCAGATTCCACTGCTAGTCACTAAGGTGAATATAGCATCGTGAATATCCGGTAGTACCGAGACATCCTCATAAGAGCCCATCTACCAACAGAGGCCGAACAATTCGACCCTGCATACCAACGGGAAATTACAAGTATCAAAGCAACAACTGATACAAGTTACACAAGAGGTAGTTGTCCTGCCCCAGTGGCGTAGTGGATAACTCTCTGGTGTTTAAAGCGACCGACAGCTGCTACCATCAGGTGGTGGTCAGGTTTGCACACTACAGTGACCCAACGAGTCATGACGGTAGACCACTTGTTTCCTCAAGGTCCTACCATCCCAGAAAGGTCTGTTAGATAGCAGTAAAACGGAAAGCAGTTACTGTTACGGTAGTGTAAATCACTACAATGTGATGGGCCCTGAAGGCGAAGTCGTACTGCTGGTAGCTGGATGGGGTATGACACCAGTAAGGTGTTTTCCTTGGATAACCAGCAGTGACACGCTGATGCTGCCTTCCCAACGGGAAAAAGGGGGTGGTTAGGAAAGATCGATTCCAAAAATAATACACTCCACCCCCTGGCGGTATACGAATGCTTGCAACAGGACTTCATAGTTGGATTCAAAAGTAAAAAACGAAATCTCAAAATTTCGAAAATGCCGTGTGTAACCGGCCTCAAGCAGATATCCTATGGGCTCTGTGGTCACATACTACATCCTATTTTTCAGATGCCTCAAGAAAACTAACCTTTCACAGTATGAGCGGCAGGGAAGTGTCAACCGCCTTCACGCTTTCAGTAGTAGAGAAAACCCAATCAAACGTAACCTATCCCTTTCAACCCTGTCTCCTCCTTTGCTTTCTCCCCTGATACTAATATTGAACCTATTACGCCTTACCCAACCTCTCACTTTGCAACCATTGTCAACGACCCAAGCCATCGAAACTTCATTCCTAATCTCCTAAGACGCTGCCATCAATTTCATGTAGTAGCTTTTAACGTCCGAACTCGATGCCAAACCGGACAGCAAGCATCGCTCGCCAAAACTCTGTGATCTCTATCCACGAATGTATCTTGTCTCTGAAACACGCATACAGGACCCATCCGTGGTCATCAAATTGACGCCACCTGGCCATAGTAGTGAACCTTCAAAATCAACTTTACGAATATCCAGAGATCCAAGAGGTAGCTGTCGTGGACTCGTTGACGTAGGCATAGCAGTGAGTTGTAGAGCAGAAAGTGAGCTTCTCGATTGGACACCAGTCAGCAGCCCTCTATGTGCTGTTCGACTGAATGGATGTGTAGGGACCAGGAAGGATCGTAAGACTAGGCGATGCCTATTCGTAACCTCCGCCTACATACCCACCAAATGTAGATCGGATGACGCAAAGAATGAAATTTTTGAGATGCTGTCAACTTTGCTACAGGAAGCCAAACGTTCACATGTGGTCATAATGACAGGTGACTTTAACGCTCAAGTAGGGAAGCTGAGCCAAACTGAGAGGTATTTATAGAATCCCATTCTAACAAACCGACATTGGTGATCGTCTGTTGCAATTTTGCTCCAATAACCACTTATTTTTGGCCAGCACTTTAGGCATAAGGAGAGACTCTGTCTCATATGACACCCGCCGATTTCAAACCAACTATGGACACAGATAAATCATATTGCTATAAGCCAGTCATCATTGAAGAGGATCAGTGGAGGATTACCGCTCTTTCTGGAGTACCAGTTTGAAGTCTAATCACGCGCCAGTAAGGGTTCGTATATGTCTGCTCTTACTGGCCGCGGGAAACAGGGGGCAGTGAGGCTCAATTGGTAGATTAGGACGCAAAGTACGCATTTAGAGAGGAGTTAGCTAGGCATTTATCTGAACGTGACAGCAATGCTCATCCCAAGGAAACCTGGTGTGATATTAAGTCCTCTGTAAAAACAGCGGTGATGACAATTAGTAACCTAGACCTGAAGGTTAGCAAACGTCATTGGGTTTTCGCGACATCATCCGAACTGATTGATGTGAGAAGACTCATTCCAACTGGCTCTGACCACCATAAAGAGTGGGAGCAAATTAAACGTAAGTTGACCAAGAGGCTTCACAATGATCTCGAGCAGTGGCGGGTGGCAAAAACAAGAGAGGCGGTGAAGGCATCAGCGTTGGGTAACACTCGGCAACTATTTAGATTTATTAAGAACACCGACAAGAAGAAAGTGATAGTGAGTGAAACCACCACCGAAAAGGATGAGATGCTGATAACCTCCTAGGACAGGCGACTAGAACTTTGAGCAGAACATCTTAAAGCACAATTCATCTGACCCTCAGCAACGCTTCAGTTGCCTAACATCCAGCCTAAACCTGAATGGGACTTAGGTATCTGTCCTCCAACTCACCTTGAAGTTGAGAAAGCTGTATCGAACCTGAAACGATGCAAAGTAGTAGGATCTGAGTTTGCCACCTGATATTTTCAAGGATGGAGGTAGGAAATTGATGGTTGGAGTGACAGAAGTACTAGGTAGTGTATGAGAATCAGAGGTAGGGCCGTCAGACTGGTGTACTGCATTGACCATCCCACTCTGCTAGAAGGGAGGGAAGTATTGTGGCAACCACAGGGGAATTAGTCTGACTAATATTGTACCCAAAGTCCTAGGGTCCATATTTATCAGACACCTAGCTGGAGCTCGAGAAAACCAGACAGGTTTCAGACCTGGACGAGTCTGTATCGATCACATTTCTAGCCTCTCACAGGCTCCGGAACACTGGCATACTCACCGGTCGTCGACTAACACTTGTCACATTTGTTGACCTGAAGGTGGCATTGGATTCAGTCGAGCGTGAGGTGTTATGGCAATCGCTTACTGTAAAAGGAGTACCAAGCAAGTAGATAAAGTGGATCAAAACCCTCTACTCGAACTCATGCAGCAATGTCAGGGATTATGGGGAGTTGTGTAAATAGACAAAATCTAGTGGTGTCCTCCAAGAATGACCACTGTCACCGCTCCTATTTAGCCTAGTCAAAGACACTAGTGGACATTACCTTAGGTGCATCTGACCTCACATGGATTGACCTACTCTCTGGAGGTCATCTGGTTGACTTAAAGTATGTAGATGATATTTTCTTGTTAGGTGAAGACGCCGACATAAGGTCTTCTTAAGGCACTGAGCAGAAATCTGACCATGCTTCGGATGCGTTTCACTGACACCTGTCAAATGCAAGATGATGCTCTAGAACTTGTCTACTGCTAGTACTCCCAGTTTATTGATAAGGATGAAGTGGTGTAATGTGTCGAACACTTCACTTACCTGGGGATTTGCATCAGCCTGAACGGGCCTGTTGCTGACGAAATCTTAGCTGGGGTACAGAAGGCCTTGTCAGGCATCTGCAACCTGCGTCACATGTGGTACTGGCTGGTAAGATATCCGACTACCTATCTAAGGACGAGTATACTACGCTACGGCGAAGGATACTTGGGAAGATAAGCAACACTTTCCTGATCGATCCTTGCATATTTCATGGTCAGATGAAATCTGCAATCCTCTTTTAGTTGCCTTACTTGCACAAACTTGATCAGGCCGCTTGTACCCTATTTGCTTAAGCGTTTGCCAAATCTGTACTATTCAATGCATTGAAATTGTAGAAAAAGTCAACATTTGCACGTATTAGCCTGCAAACCTAATATCTGGTTCCGAATTCTGGACAGTCTTTTAAGGAGGACTGGAAATTACTGTCAAAATATTGATTGGTTCCTGTATTTTATTTGTTCTAGCATACTTCAGTGGTATTACACAAGACAGTAATACTTATTATGTTCAGTAACAATGAGTAGTCTCTTAAGTTCTTCAAAACAACCGTGTCCTAAAACGCTTGTTTATAAGATATAATATTGCTGTGAATCATTTTTATCATCCTGTTTTTTACTACATTTTCGTTTGAAGGTAATACTTCTTTGAGCCCTATGCAATTAGGCTTACGTGCTGAATCTTGGATTGCTAAACGTCTTTCACCTCAGCTTCACGTCTCATTGCCATCGTCAATCGGTGCACCAATCGAAAATCACCCTCCAGATTCACGTTTCAGTGGTGGCTCTGGACCTCTTTTTGATCTATCATTTGATGCAGAAAGATCTCTTATAATACTCCGACGTTTAGACCTTGTACGCGGTTCTGAATCGTCACCAAGTGCCGTACATCCAGCAACAGCTTCTTTAGAAGTTCCAAACGACACTTCCAGTTCTGTTGGACTAGACCGTCTATGGGTGATTGATCCAATAAGTATGGAGTCGGACTTAGGCTTCAAAAAACCACATTAGTACTGTCTTTCATAGTCAACTCCAAGATTTAACCTTGAGGACATGTTGAAATTCGTTCTTAGCATACTTTACTCTGTATACCTACTTATAGTATTTGCTGAAACAACTGTCTTCTTCTTATAAAGAATTTCTCGTAGTGTCTTCATTTTAATGTATAGATTCTCCTGAACATCAATTACCCATCACTTTTTTCACTCAAATCATCCGCTTCTGTTCAAATTTATTCTAAACTCGGCTTATTAAAACACCCATCTAACGGATAATACAAACAAAAAAATATAACCGCCTAGTGTATTATGTCCACCGCAATACAACTTACCATAATAATATATCAGCTTCCTTTAAATCGGTGGCAATCTACCTCTACAATTCATCAAGTTCCAAATCATTCCAAAAAAGATCCTGAGTGCGCTCAAGCGGCGTTAAAAATCACCACGTTCAAAGCTGAACTTTATCAATTAAAACACGTAATATGAAAAACCCACAAAAATCCAAAATTTAAATCATGGACAAATTCCACATAAAACATCCCAACACCAACAAGAAATCACACCACAATCTCAGAAAAAAAAATTCACTAGCAAAAGCCCTAAAAACAATCCAAGACTCCATCACACACCATTTCAAACATATTTCCCAACGCCTAATCAAAACTACCACGCTAACCGACGAAGACCAGTGCTCACTGACTCTCATGGTGTTCGCCAATAATAGATGTGTCATTTGGACATGTCGTGTTCACTCGCCCGTCTCATCCGTGTGACGCAGTGACCTAGGATCTCCCGAGTCGATCGATCACTTCATTGGCCCAACGACACGCTCCCACTGATCGGAATGCATTGGCCCACTGTCTGCAGCTATCCTCAGTCGGTGGGATGATCGACTGGAAGTCGGCGACTGTGTGATCTGCACGATGAGATCCGTTGACCAGGTGGTCTGGTCATACGGCTGACTGAGTGGAGTGTCTGTCATCTGACACGACACATGATGAGTGGAGCACTCCTCCAATTGTCGCACATCAGCATACAGCTTTGTTGGCCAGATGTGTCTACCATGATTGACAAGTCAAGGTGACACGAACACCAGTCTCGCTCTATCTCTGCGTCTCTGTGTATGCATTGATTTGGGTGAATGTGCGAGAGAGTGATTCAGGTGTGCGATCTCTGACACCATCTTCAGGAGGACGAGTGGAGAAGTGTGAGGAGAGTGATTTGTGCAAGCATGTGGAATCGGCTTCCATGAGGATGTATTTGCAAGTGTGTTGGATTGTCGAGTTTGTCAGTGCAGTGCTCCGTGGTGAGGCTTTTCATACTGGTTGTGAGTTCTGTGCGCGATGAATGTTGATGCTGTCTTTGTGTGTTGAACTGGACAGGCTCGTCGGTGTGTGTGGCTGTTGTGTGATGACGAGCGACGAGGAGTGTGTCTCGGTCTCGATTGATCGAGTGCAGTGTACAATCACAATCCACTCGTTGGTCATGACGAGGATGATGAGTAGGTGGGTTCTGTTCAAAAGCCGGCAGTTGACCAGACACTCAGTCCCGCCATACACCACCACCACACGCCCGACGTGGGGCTCGAACCCACGACCCTGAGGTTAAGAGCCTCATGCTCTACCGACTGAGCTAGCCGGGCCCGTCGCCCGCCCACCACAAACAATTAACACTCACACACACAAAATTATTGTATCAACAATGTCACACCCCATCACACACACACACACACACACACTCCATCAATCACAACTACCAACTCCACACTCACCCACAACAAACAAATTGCAAACATCTCAGCAACACACAGAACCACAATCACCCCACATCAACACTAATGCAAATGCCAACAGCAACAACAATAACAACAGGAACCACATCACAACACCCGACAACACACACGCAAAACACTATCAACGTGCAAATCAACTCTCCCATCGACTCACTATCATCATCCAATATGGCAGGAGAGGAACCAGTCCTCCTATCTCCAATGCATCACCACACACTGAGTCAGTGCGAAACACTCTCCAGTCTCCAGCTCCTCGACCTGCACACCTTCGACTGGTCCAGTCATTTACAGATTCTGCCAGACAGATGGTCAGCTGCAAGCACATCCCACCTGCTCCTGTCAACTGGCATGTTGGCCGACCACGACCAGTGCTCACTGACTCTCATGGTGTTCGCCAATAATAGATGTGTCATTTGGACATGTCGTGTTCACTTGCCCGTCTCATCCGTGTGACGCAGTGACCTAGGATCTCCCGAGTCGATCGATCACTTCATTGGCCCAACGACACGCTCCCACTGATCGGAATGCATTGGCCCACTGTCTGCAGCTATCCTCAGTCGGTGGGATGATCGACTGGAAGTCGGCGACTGTGTGATCTGCACGATGAGATCCGTTGACCAGGTGGTCTGGTCATACGGCTGACTGAGTGGAGTGTCTGTCATCTGACACGACACATGATGAGTGGAGCACTCCTCCAATTGTCGCACATCAGCATACAGCTTTGTTGGCCAGATGTGTCTACCATGATTGACAAGTCAAGGTGACACGAACACCAGTCTCGCTCTATCTCTGCGTCTCTGTGTATGCATTGATTTGGGTGAATGTGCGAGAGAGTGATTCAGGTGTGCGATCTCTGACACCATCTTCAGGAGGATGAGTGGAGAAGTGTGAGGAGAGTGATTTGTGCAAGCATGTGGAATCGGCTTCCATGAGGATGTATTTGCAAGTGTGTTGGATTGTCGAGTTTGTCAGTGCAGTGCTCCGTGGTGAGGCTTTTCATACTGGTTGTGAGTTCTGTGCGCGATGAATGTTGATGCTGTCTTTGTGTGTTGAACTGGACAGGCTCGTCGGTGTGTGTGGCTGTTGTGTGATGACGAGCGACGAGGAGTGTGTCTCGGTCTCGATTGATCGAGTGCAGTGTACAATCACAATCCACTCGTTGGTCATGACGAGGATGATGAGTAGGTGGGTTCTGTTCAAAAGCCGGCAGTTGACCAGACACTCAGTCCCGCCATACACCACCACCACACGCCCGACGTGGGGCTCGAACCCACGACCCTGAGGTTAAGAGCCTCATGCTCTACCGACTGAGCTAGCCGGGCCCGTCGCCCGCCCACCACAAACAATTAACACTCACACACACAAAATTATTGTATCAACAATGTCACACCCCATCACACACACACACTCCATCAATCACAACTACCAACTCCACACTCACCCACAACAAACAAATTGCAAACATCTCAGCAACACACAGAACCACAATCACCCCACATCAACACTAATGCAAATGCCAACAGCAACAACAATAACAACAGGAACCACATCACAACACCCGACAACACACACGCAAAACACTATCAACGTGCAAATCAACTCTCCCATCGACTCACTATCATCATCCAATATGGCAGGAGAGGAACCAGTCCTCCTATCTCCAATGCATCACCACACACTGAGTCAGTGCGAAACACTCTCCAGTCTCCAGCTCCTCGACCTGCACACCTTCGACTGGTCCAGTCATTTACAGATTCTGCCAGACAGATGGTCAGCTGCAAGCACATCCCACCTGCTCCTGTCAACTGGCATGTTGACCGACCACGACCAGTGCTCACTGACTCTCATGGTGTTCGCCAATAATAGATGTGTCATTTGGACATGTCGTGTTCACTTGCCCGTCTCATCCGTGTGACGCAGTGACCTAGGATCTCCCGAGTCGATCGATCACTTCATTGGCCCAACGACACGCTCCCACTGATCGGAATGCATTGGCCCACTGTCTGCAGCTATCCTCAGTCGGTGGGATGATCGACTGGAAGTCGGCGACTGTGTGATCTGCACGATGAGATCCGTTGACCAGGTGGTCTGGTCATACGGCTGACTGAGTGGAGTGTCTGTCATCTGACACGACACATGATGAGTGGAGCACTCCTCCAATTGTCGCACATCAGCATACAGCTTTGTTGGCCAGATGTGTCTACCATGATTGACAAGTCAAGGTGACACGAACACCAGTCTCGCTCTATCTCTGCGTCTCTGTGTATGCATTGATTTGGGTGAATGTGCGAGAGAGTGATTCAGGTGTGCGATCTCTGACACCATCTTCAGGAGGATGAGTGGAGAAGTGTGAGGAGAGTGATTTGTGCAAGCATGTGGAATCGGCTTCCATGAGGATGTATTTGCAAGTGTGTTGGATTGTCGAGTTTGTCAGTGCAGTGCTCCGTGGTGAGGCTTTTCATACTGGTTGTGAGTTCTGTGCGCGATGAATGTTGATGCTGTCTTTGTGTGTTGAACTGGACAGGCTCGTCGGTGTGTGTGGCTGTTGTGTGATGACGAGCGACGAGGAGTGTGTCTCGGTCTCGATTGATCGAGTGCAGTGTACAATCACAATCCACTCGTTGGTCATGACGAGGATGATGAGTAGGTGGGTTCTGTTCAAAAGCCGGCAGTTGACCAGACACTCAGTCCCGCCATACACCACCACCACACGCCCGACGTGGGGCTCGAACCCACGACCCTGAGGTTAAGAGCCTCATGCTCTACCGACTGAGCTAGCCGGGCCCGTCGCCCGCCCACCACAAACAATTAACACTCACACACACAAAATTATTGTATCAACAATGTCACACCCCATCACACACACACACTCCATCAATCACAACTACCAACTCCACACTCACCCACAACAAACAAATTGCAAACATCTCAGCAACACACAGAACCACAATCACCCCACATCAACACTAATGCAAATGCCAACAGCAACAACAATAACAACAGGAACCACATCACAACACCCGACAACACACACGCAAAACACTATCAACGTGCAAATCAACTCTCCCATCGACTCACTATCATCATCCAATATGGCAGGAGAGGAACCAGTCCTCCTATCTCCAATGCATCACCACACACTGAGTCAGTGCGAAACACTCTCCAGTCTCCAGCTCCTCGACCTGCACACCTTCGACTGGTCCAGTCATTTACAGATT